AATAAGGGCATCAATATCCAAATCTAGGCACTTAGTTCTTTTTCTGAGATCGCATACCTTGTTCTCATTAGACTGTAATTAGCTACTTGGTTTTATAGTTATAAAATTGAATAAGATGTTACTAAGTATGTGCGGTGCTGTGAAGTTGAAGCCATACCTCATCATGGTGCATTAATGAGTGAGTGCAGTTAATAAAGGTGTGAAAGACACTCTAGGATGACTTAATCTGTAAATCTGTTATGTTACATAGAGGCAAATCCAGATAGTTTCTTTCAGCAGTCAGTCAGTCATTTAGAACTCATGATAAACTTTGCTTTGCTTTATCTTTTTCAGTATGGATTCATACTGGGGGGGAGGGGGGAAACTTACAGAAAAACAATACCGATGGATTAAATGCTTGTTGGAGTTTGATTTTGGAATTAATTTTGAAATTTAGTGGATGGTTAATTAAATGTTATGGATTGTCTCTGACAATTTGTGACATTAAAAAGATGCATATTTTTAATTTTCCTCTACCTTGAGCCATAGTGAGTCCAGTTTAATATCTGCTTTCAGAAAAACTAAAAGTGATCAATATTTGACATGTGTATTTGCTACAAAGATTTTAAAATTAAAATGTGCAGTTCTACTTCTGCCTTCTGTCCTCTCTCCTTTTCTTTTCTCCCAAAGTAGATATACACTTTTATTTTGAATTTTGGGTGATTGGAAAGAGTGATAAGACTGTATGACTGGGAGAGGATGAATACTGAAGCTGCTTCTTAGTAGTAAAATTAATTTTTATGTGGATGTTATATTTTAAATTAGCAGAACCTTGATGGTACTTTTGAATGTGTACTTTTCTGGACTCACATCAGAATATTTCAGTACTAAATAAAATTTCATTACTCAAACATTGCTATAAAGCAACAATGTTTTACAAATTACGAAGATTTATATAGTTTTTCTTCATACAGTTTATTTTTTAAATTGTAAAAGATGGGAAATGGTGCTCCAGTAAACTTGGCAAATCAGTTATTTAAAAGATATAGTAGGAATTCATTTATATATCATTATAATAATTATAATGACACCTGCCTTCCTTTCTGTGGCCTACTTACAAAGCATTTGGTACATTTGGTTTTTTATTTGTATCACAGCTGAAACAGAACAGACTATTTTTTTCTTCCTCATAAAATTTAGGCCAAAATGATTTGGAAGTTCTTTCCTGTTCCTTTAGTTATTGGCTGCTTTGAGTTTGTCCTTCTTTATACTCTATACTTTGTTTTACTAAACTTGTGACCATAATCTCCCAACTTGTCTCCTGTGAAACGCAATGAATTAATACGTGTGTCAGGTTAATCGTAGTCAATTTAGTACCTCCGTGCACACACTCATTCTCTCATTTGGGAAGCATCATGGAAAATGCTTTCCAAATTGCGAAAACCTTCTTTCAGAAGTTCATTTGAATTCAGCTGGAGCTTCTGGAAGCTAAGCAACTGTTGAGAATTAAGCAATTAGCATGCATGCTTAAGAAAACAACATCCATGATTATATCTTATATATTGTTCTCATATTATTGATAGGAACTAGTTAAGTAATGCTTATGAATTCTTCAAAAGCAATTAATTATTTTCAAATCATAGTAAAATATGTAAAATCTTTTTTTTCCCCCACTTTTTGGTTCCAAAAGCATTGTGTGGTCCCTTTGGTGCAGAGAAAGTATGCTAGCAATTAGAGAAAGACTGTTTATTTACTGAGGCATTTTCGTAGTTTTGAACAGTAAAATTTCACTGAGGAAAAAATAAAACTAACATATGACTGCAGAAAAGGAAAATGTTCATAATACTGTGTGTTGTTCCTCTCTTCTCTGAAAGTTAGTTTACATTAGGCTGAGTTTCAGCAAATGTTTTCATATCTTTAAGTGTTCTGTTCTAATTGAAATATAGTCAGTACTAAAAATGAGTGAGAACAGTACACCTGTAACGTGAGTCTTTCATGGTGGTCCTCCCAGGACTTATTTTAAGATATTTATCTTTTTTTTTTTTTTCTGCTATTCTATAATGGTTATGTATATTACAGTGAGAGAGATGATAGTCAAAACATTGACAATATCTGTGGGTGAGCCTTTCTTGAAAAACCTCCCCTTTTTGTTTGTAAACTAGATGGATAATCTAAACTACTACTAGCCCTGCTAGTCTAGCTCAGTTTTGCTGTGTACTCTAGAGACACTTACAAAAACAAATCTTCAAATGTGACTGTGGTACCTTTTAGTTCCTGTCAGGATAATTTGCTCTGACTACACAGGTCTTCTTGAAAGTTGCTATTCAGCTACGGAGTTTTAGAATCAAGGATTTTGTCTTTTTTATATAGACAAGAACCTTACTACAGGGATCTGTTCATAGGCCTTCTTAAGCCAGGACTGTTACACGTTCATTTGGTACAGCTTGTGTTTTTTCATCTCGATTTTGGACAATTATCAACATTTCTGATATGTATTTAATTCACTTACCAGCTCCTAGCTGAACTTTTAGCTTCATTTGAGCACTTTCAGATATATGACATCTGATTTGCTTTATGAATCCTGCTGTTTCCATGGGGGGGAAAGTATGAGAGAGCAGAGGATAAAGAACTTCCAGTTGAATAAATCTAACTGTGAGATAGCTTTTTAGAATAGCCACTCTTTTCTCCTTTGCTAGGCACTGTAATCAGTGGCAGTCAGCGTGTCAAAAAATTAAGTAGACGTGACAACCAAGTGATAATATCAGCTGCCTTCCGTGGCCAGAAAATATGTTTGGAATACTTGCTTGCTTTGGAGGACATAAGGATAAATACTGGTCTGAACATCTTCAGAAAATAATGAAAAGTTTGAATCCCATTCAGAAAGAGAGTAGCAGGAGGAAGCATAACAATTTAACCTTATTTTTTAGCTCGTATCTCTACCCAGGCACAATTTTAAGTATATAAATAGAAAAATGATTTAGTTATTGCTGTCACCTTGGCTAATATTAATGAGACAGCAGTTTAGAAATCTGTATCTATAATCTTAAGGAATATTTTGGCAGACACATACAAACAAGGAAAATAATAATGATAGTAAAGCCTTATGTAGTACAGAGATATCTTGTATGTCCATACGTAAACTAATTGGATTCTAATTTGTTTTTCTATTTCTCTTTTTCACTTGGTTATTCTTCTTTATATGTAATGTAATGAAAGAGCTAACAAATGCATCATTGGTGAACAACACAAAGTAATTTCAGGTTGATAAAGTCAATTGGTTTAGTGATTGGTGTATTTGCTATGCTTGCAGATTAAAAAAAAAAAAAAAAATTATATCATGTAAGCTAATGACCTTGGTTGCTAACTTATATCCTTTTTCTTCTGTGTTTTCATTGTTCATAAACATTGAAGTGACTCTCAGGGACTTTATTACTGAGGATGAAAACTTAAAGCATTACTGAAACAGTACGTGACTTACCAAGTTAGAAGGTAGTGACTGAAACTGTATGATGATGAGGTATTCTGTGTCCAAGATCGACTATTTCAATTTTGAGCCTCCTGTAAGCATTTTTTTTTGTTTTGTTTTCTGCTGTTTATATGTTTAATAGGTGAGAGTTCTGTTGGTTTCACTCAGTTTCTTTGCCAAATGAGGTGTTCTATATGAGAAGGTCAGCTCATTTGCCAAGTTTGCATTTCTAGTAACGATTTGCACAAGATCAAATTTTGCAATCTGTGTTGTTAGTCTCTAGTAAGGAGAGTGATATGCATCTAAAACATTACCCTGAGGCAGGTAGGTGTTTGCCTCAGTGCCTTATTTCATGTAGGAATAAAACTTCTTTGTCATATATTAAAAAATAAAAATCGGGGGAGGGGGGAGTGGGGGGAAGAGGATGGAGGGAGAGAAATCACTACTCCAAAGCTTTGAAATTATTTTTACAATGACTTTAATATAATATATACTGTGACTCAGATCCTGAAGTCACAGAAACAGTGTGAAAATCTAGTTTCCGTTTTACTTTTCCTGGCCTGATTTCAAGTCTTGCTAGTCTTTTCTCTCCTAAGGCTGTATTGACTGTACTGAACATAAGGTGTTGAACTAGACTTCAACAGACAAGAGCAGAATTTTCCCCAAGCACGGAGAGTTTTCAACAAGTTGATTTTGTGGAATTGTAGGCCTTTCTCTTTTAACTGTTCAAAGATGAAAAGTTACTGAAGTTACTTTCTGATCTAAAATGAAAGACAGCGACAGTTTATATTTTATCAATTATTGAGTGATAAGCCATTTTCTTAAAATCACATGTAACTATCATCATTAATACGTATGCAACTGTGCCACAGTTACTTCAGAGATAATAGTGAAAATGTCTTAAGATCTCTTATGCATTTCTCATCTGTTTAGAAGTTTTGTATTAAGAAGGATAAAATGGGATTGTAGGTTTACATTCATGTTACTAGTTAAAACAGATAATACTTGCTTACCAGGTAGAAATCAGCAAGGAATCATTTTGCTGCCAAAAGCAAAATGAAATTAAACTAAATGAAAAATGTTTCAATTTGACAACCTCCCTAACAACCCACACAGTGTGAAGTTTCAACTAATTTTACTTTTAGAGCTGATCTGTTTCTCTTTGACAAATACCAGCAAACTATTTTGCCACCTGGAGAAGACAGGTGAATTGGTATGTACATCCCCATGAGTTCCGTAACCTTACCTTTAGTTGTTAAACTACATTGTAATCAAGAAACTGGTCAGGATGGCACTTAGGGATCTTTATAGAAATGCTCTGAATTTGCTATGGACTGCCTCATCTTGTATTCTAGGCAATTGAACAAATACAGTGGGTTTCCAAAGTGATATTTAAATAACCAGTCACTTCTGGACTAAGTACGAAGGCTGTATCTTCAGGAATCAGTGTTTTTGAAGATAGTCTAAAATATTTGCTAACAGAATATTTTCTGATTCATTAGTTTGAAAGTGTTTAAAAAGGAAGCAATTCCTATTATATTTTTTTCCCTTCTAGACAATTGATTTAGAGGGATTCAAGCTGTTCATGAAGACTTTTCTGGAGGCAGAGCTACCTGATGATTTCATTGAGCATCTTTTTACATCATTTAGCAACAAAATCTCTCACTGCAGCCCATTAATAAAAAACAAACCCCCGCTCCTTTCTGGAGGTAAGTAATACAATCAAAGTAATACAAGAACGGAAAGTTGTATGCCCCTGCCACTTACTTTCCAGTAGTGATAAATATGTAGAATTCTAAACTACGTGCACTTCTTTTTTGTTCTGATATTTATGAAATTGGATAACCTTACTCATGCATGAGCAAGGAATATTGTGAAGATAAATGGATATTTAATGGTTTTGTCTTTTTAATTCACAGCAACGTTGCAGCTGAGGCACCAAAGTAGATAATATTTGTTCCATTAATGCTAATCAAATTGCTGTGCCTATATGGTCTTGCTGACTACTATAAACACTTAAAAACCTTCAGAGCCTCATGCAGGAGGCTTCTGCTGTGCTTCACAGTTTCTCTACCCAATTACTGCTGCTTCTCTTAATTAGTTATGATGCTGCTCTTAGTAATCTTAAATACTTACAGTTACTGATATTTTGAATGCCCTCTAACAGTTAGCAGTAGTTCTTTTATCCAGTGTAAAAGCTATGTCTTTAGTGCAGTGTAAAATTTTAATGCTACATTTAAACATTTTTCTGAAACATGATCCTAAGTGCAGATGATAACATGTTGAAATACTTCCAGGCAAAATAGTGTTTAAAACTTTCAACTTAGAAAACTTTATAAGACTTTTCATTAATTCTTGGAGAATAGAGTTAACATGATTATCCTAACTTGAAATCTTTGATTTGGCACAGTACTAATTTGGGAACTCTGTCAAAATTAAATAGCTAAAAGTAGAAGCTAGGCTAATGTAAAAAAAAAAAAATCATATACTGAACAGCTGGGATAATCAAGCATTTAGAACATTTTACCAAATGGTTTGATGGGTTCTTAATTGCCAGAATTCTTCATGTTAAGATTAGGTGTCTTCAAATTGCAACTTATGCAGAAACTGTGAATTTGATACAAATGCTACTAGCCAAAATGCTAGCTAGTGTTCTGCAGGTATGAAGCTCTATAGATTTCTGTAGATGCCTTAGTGCATAGTATTAATTGGCTTTGACACTTTTTACGTAGAGATGATAGTGGCTGTTTGTAGGTCACTGTCAGATTGATTGCTGAATTCTGCCCAGTATAGGCTGTCCTCAGCTTCGCTTTTGCTGTAATTCCCTCTGATACTTTTGATTCTTAGGAGCAGTTTAAAAAACAAGAGAAAAAAAAGTGAATTCCGCTGTTAAAACTGTATTCTAAGTTTCTTACAATGGCTGTTAACTCCTAAACTTCTTCTCCCTCACACATTTTTTTCTATTTAGTAGTTCATTTTCATCTTCAATTTAGTAGTTTTCCATATGTATATAGTGTAATTCCAGAAGGGCTGGTTGATAAATTGTAATATCCAAAGCATATTTAGAGAGACAGTGCAGTTCATCTCATGTAATAATTATCATTATTTGTGCCTGTGAATATGCTTTTTATAAAGACAATTTGATTGCTTGAGATTTAAACTAGATTTTATTTTTTTATTATTTGAAGCATTCAAAGTGGAGAAAGTAGGTATCTGTACATGGTCATGTGCAAATGAAAATTACAAAAGTTTCATTTTAGGATATCTAGCAGTCTTTAGATGTTAACAGTGGTGGAAAAAAAAACCTGATCATATCGAGAAAGAAATCTGTCAGATATATTTGGCATTCTTCTGGAAATTGAGAAGGAACACATGAGCTAGTGAAGATCACAAGCGGGGTTCATAAGTCTCTCTACGTGCCCATTTTTCACTTGGTTTATTTCAGTCCACTCATGTCTGTTTATAAACTGTATTTTCAGTTAAAGTGTCTGAAGAAAGATGGAAACAGATGCCAGGTAAGCATCAGCACTCTAAGTCAGTATGGCATCCACCTTGCTTCCACTTCTCATTATGATTTGTCTTGTACCTTGCATCTCATCATAATCTAAAACTTCATCTTAAAGCCTATATATCATTTTCATTTTTCGGTGGAATGTGACTATGTATTTTTAAGATGAGTGGGTCTCAGATTTATAATAACTTTTATTTTGTGCATAGGATTCACATGTACTGTTTGTGTAAACTGTGTGATTAAAGATAGCATCTTAGTAACATTTTATACTATCTTAATTTTAATTTTACTTACTGACATGCAAGCTCCACTAGTAGAATATAGTTCTATTAAATCTATTTTTTCATTTAAATATTTACATTTAGTGTATATCTGCCTGAAAACATAAACTTCACTCAAATTTTATTTTTTGTATACCAGTTTGCTCTTACTTAATCATGACATTTGAGCAATTATGACAAATACTTAAATTCTATGTATATTTTCTTAATATTCTGTAGTCAGATTTTTCACATTTTAAATATATGTTGCTGTGACACACTATTAGCTCCATTTTGGGGAAGATTACACATTTGAGTGTTTTCAGAGTTTTCTTTGTCACTAAAACATCTTTAAATATTATATCTGTAAACAATCTGTAATTAGAAAAAACTTTTACAAGCACTGAGAAATGAATAGGGAGTTGGGCAGGGATTACTTTGATACTTAATTTAACATGTATGTCCCATGTAATAAAAATATTCATCAAAATTATTTTACGGTGAAATGATATCAGGTCAACGTAAATGAAAAAGCAGGAATTCTGTTCCCATACTTGATTTATTTTTCTTATAGCCTGCTTTACCTGTGCAGTATCTCACTCTCATTTTAATTCTGCATTTTTTTTGGATAAACTATGTATGTCAATTGCTCAAAATTTCACAGCTTGATTTAAATTAAGAAATCATATGTGATTCAAATTTAAAAATGGTGCATGCATGTACGTAAAAGCTCTGGATTGTATTCTTTGCTTATATCCTACAGTAAGAGTAACAAAGGATATATTTCGTTTCCAGGTCTGAGACTTAACAAAGGTACCTCTACATCCCGACCTCCTACACCTGCCAACTTGAATTTACCAGATGCGATCCAGCTGAAAGACATTGTTTGTTATTTATCACTGCTAGAAAGAGGAAGACCTGAAGACAAGCTAGAATGTATGTTGTTTATATGTTTGTTGTGTTTTTGTTTTTTTTTTTTAACATAAACTTACTTCTATATATACATTTGTTTTCAAGGAAAACTAATGAAAAATTATATCAAAAGCAAATGAAATACACTGTAGATGGTATGCAATGTAGATATAGAAGTGATGAATAATCTGTAGAATGTGAGCTAATTCAGATGAAGAATTTGGGCTTTGGGATCTCTCGTGAATTCAAGAAAGTAAAAAGTGATCCAAGTCTATACTGCTTTTGGTAGTGCAATGAACTTTTGATTCTGGGAGCTAGGATTAATAGGATTTTTGAATTAGGGGCCTCATTCATTAAAGCCAAAAATCTCTGTCTGCTAAAAAAAAAAGCATGCAAACAAACAAAAAAGCAAAAAACAAAAAAAGAGAAACAAAACAATGTGATCTGCAAATCATAGAAAAAGAAAAAAAAAGAAAAGTATGTTTCTCCTTTATGGAGTTCTAGAAGCTAATTTTTTAAACAGGTAAACAATCAAAGTTCTTCTAGAGACCAGGTATATTTTAATATACAAAACTATCAAAATTATATGGCTTCAATGCTGTATGGAAAACAAATGTTTAGTATGATAGGAAACAGGAAGCTGTTGGAGAAAGAAATTCATTCCAGGTTACCTGACCATGTGTTTTTGAAGAACTCTGATGTTTTGTTTACCTATACTTAAGTTACAATTAAAATTTTGTACTGTAAGTTTACTGACAGAAATTGTAGAGAGTCAGCCCTAAATTTGGTAATAATAATTTAGTATTATGTTATTAAAATATGAGGCTGTATTTGTCTATGTGCATTTCAAACATAAGCAAATGGCAGCTAGGAATCTAGGACTGAATTCAGCTAACAATATGGTAACTGTTTCACTGTATAGCAATTCATGCAAACCATATTAGAGCTGTTAGGAACTCTATGCACTGAGCATGACGTGAAAGGAAGAGCAAGTGCCTCCCCTGGTGTCAGAAACCAGTACAATGAAAAAGGAAAGGAGATGAAAGAGCAGGATTATTCTAATGTAGAGAATATTTCACAGATTTTCCCAAGCAGGAACTGTATAGGCAAAAGACTATGTATGATTTATGAGCTAAATCCTTGTCTAGTATGTGTATTGTATTTATATATTAAATATATTTGAGGTTATATGGATTTATTACATGAATTAAGGGTATGGTTATTGCTTAGATTGATGTGCTACTCTGTCACTTTTTAGTGTATAAAGTTTAGACTACATCATATCATTATTGTGTAGATTTCCCTAATGATTATATCTGAATCCTCCTTATAAATGAATGGTATAATTTAACCCTTTGTCTGAAATAATTGTATAATAGGTCCTGTGGCTGCAGAGTAGAATAAGAATTAGTTGCAGTGGAGGGGAAAAAAAAAAAGAAATATTCCAGAGTTGCCAGCACAATGAAACTCACGTGTTTAAAACATTCCGCATATCTGTTCTCAAACCATCTATGGACTAAATATATCCCAAACTATCATAAAAGAGATGCATTGGAATAATTAAAATTTTCTTTTTAAGGACATACTACGTATAGATGGTACACTTATGATGTTAAGCACCTCTGTGCTCAGTGGACCAACTTGTAAACTTGATCTGCAGAAACTCTATTCTGTTCTCCTGCACTGTCATTTTTGTATGTGTAAAAAAAGCATCTTGTAAATATGCAGGGCACTTCTGAGGAAGCGAACAGTGGTATTCCATGGCTCAACTTCTCTTCCTTTAGTGACCTCAATGGTGGAAGTCATTTTAGCTGACAATTGTTTGAGTTTTATCAGGGGCATGACATCAGCACAGACCATCTCCTTAATTTGTATGTTTTTCTCAGTATGTTCATGGATGCTGGACACATATCTCCAGTTCCCCAGTTTCTTCTTGAATGGCCATAATTTACAACTTTTGGTGCTTCTGGGATGCCATCTTTTATAACTTCTATGCTTAGAAATCCAGAAGTTGCAGGGGAAATTACAGCAGTGCAGCAAGTGATCTAATATTTTCAATTATTTTTTAATATATTTTTATACATCATTTGCAAAAAGCATGTACTCTTATAATAGATAGATGTGGTCATTCAGTGCTGCCATATAAAGGTGTGAGACAGAAATACGAAGAATTAACTTGGGCTCTGTAGTTTTTATTAAGATTTTTGCTCAATTATTTGTATCATTTTGCTATTGTTCGTTTTTCACTTAGATTGGGTAAATCAGCAAGAACACAGATATTTAGAAGGGTGTGAATGGAAAATGATTGCATACCATGCCAGCTGGGTAATTATTCAATCTAAACAAGCACACAGATACCCAATACATATATGAGTGGAGACTTTGCTACGGAAGTGGAGCAGTTATAATTGTACTAATCTCTATTTTCAAATGACAAATTTGAGGCACTGATTGGTGCTAAAGGTAAAAATAATATACAAGTTGGAAACACTGCTGCTCTGGAAAGAGGAATGCACAGGGAGATGCTGAACACCTGTTGCTTTTTTGATAATTGTAGCATATTTTAACCGTTGTATTGCAATAGCACTGGAGGAGGATAGAGAACCAAATGACTTTACTGCTTAGTGATTCATTGATTCTCTATGGAAACTGAATGCTTAATGCTATTTCTGCCATATAATATTAGCTGTCTTACACTGAGCACAGCTCAGCAGCTTTGGCAGAAGTGTATTAGCAGGGATATTACAATTTCTGATGGCTTTAATGCTAACTGTTATATTCTACAGAAGCAATGTAATTCACAAGCTAAGAAACATATTCGTATAGGCTTTTTAGACTGTAACTAATAGACTTTTGTAACTTGCAACAAAGCACTAGAGTAAAAATCGTATATTACAGCTCTTAAGAGTGGTGTGAGATCACATTGGCTAGTACTGATTATGTGGTGGAAAGTTTAGTGATCAACTTGGGAAGCAGATACGGGATGAAAGGATACAATCCAAGCCATGTACCTGTGAAGTGTGTTTTGCTCCAAGTCAAAAGTAGTCAAATTCTTTTCGAACTTCACTCTAATCACTCCCTTCTATTGTTGCCTGAAAAAGATAACTTTTTCTTGCAGAATTTACTGGACTGTGGGACCATTTTCATATGGCTCTATTGTGTGGTACTGTTCACTGCTGAACAGGCCATACGTTATTTTTTTTTTTTTCAAGGCATCTAATAAGTTGATTACTGCTTGGGTTTTGCTATGAATTGAGGCATAACAGCGTCCTGCAACCACCTGTAGATAAGCTCTCTTCTTACTTCTTTGAAAATAGACCTTCTAGGGATTAGGGAGTTCAGAACTCTGACAAACTGCATCACAGATGATAGGAAGAAAGAGTGAGGCATGCCTGGGCTCCTGGTTTTTCATCTTTAAGCTTTTAGAGCCTTCTACTAAAGGTAAAATCTTCCTGCTTTGCAGTCTTTTGCTCTCTATGATCAGCTGAAGAAGCTGCTTTGAAATATTTTTGTAATAGTGGATGTGCCCACTCTTGTGGCAGGAGGCAGATAGTGATAGAAATATGAAAGTATATATTTCTTCTGGATATCACCAAAATCCAATGATTCTTGTCTGGACAGATCTTCAGCATATTGGCAAGACTGTTTTAATTTAGTTTGGTACAGGTAGAATTTGTGCTAGCAGCCTGTGAGGAATTTTTTTTTGTTGGATTCTCCTAATTAGGTACTAAAAATAATGATCTTCTATTTCATTTAGTGTAGATCAGAAAGCATTTTTAAAGCAATAGTAATGGCTGCAATCAGGAGACTGGAATAGCATTGTAACTTAAATGTGCTTATGAATATTTGGTTGACGAACTGCATGTTTTCCTGTATGTGATGTCACGTCTGAGAGTCTTTTGGTTGTACTTCCTGTCAGTGCAGATCAGACCATCTCTGGGAAAAGCCAGGAACACATTCACAGGTTAGGTTCTGGAGGGGTTGTGTGGAAACGGTGCAGTTATGTCTCACTGGAGGCAATGTCGTAGGATATGCAGTGAGAGAGCCTCATGCGTCGCAGAATCTTTGGTGGATCTTCAGTTAGTATAATCATGCTAATGCTTGTCTTTTGAAACTCAGTTTGTCTTTTTTTTTTTTTTAATTAAAGAATGTTGTTACTATGTTTTCTAACTGTGTTTCCTTCTTTTTGTTTCCTTTTAGTTATGTTTCGTTTATATGATACAGATGGAAATGGATACTTGGATAGTTCGGTAACTTTACATATTTTGCTGTGTTTTAAGACTATGTCCTAATGGTATAGCTATAGAAAACGATGTGACTCTTGAATTAATAGAACCACTGTAAATTATAGTCAATAGAAAGTTGCCTGTTTTGAAAGCAAACTTTGAGTATTTCTTCCATTAAGCTGCTGTTTCTTCAACCATAAACATTTTCAAATGCTGACAGTGCTAATGTGGAGTCTCATTTTATACTCTTCTTATTCTTAATTATATTAATATACGGGATACATTAATATGACTCCTAAAACTTCAGTATGCCTCTTGGAGATGTATATGAAAGCAACATTAGCAAAGATCCCATTAAAATGGGAAGGCATTCCATACCTGAGTTTCAGATGTTCTGACCGTCTGCCTTGTGTAAAAATGTCAAGCACTTTGGAAAATCAAGTCATACATATAGCAGTATACAGTATATCACTTTTAACTCCTTTTGAGATTTAAGTGAAAAGGTCATGTGTCTCCATAGTTCTTACTTAATTTAGCCTTCAGGTTTTACCTACAGTTGTTATAGCTATATGAGGACGTGTTCTAAGTGTTCCAAGATTTATGTAACTTTTTTTTGTTGTTGCTTTTTGTTTTACTTAACAGTTAAAATAAATACAAAATTTCTGTAGACATCTCTGGTAAAATCCAGTCAGATGATACATGTATACTTATTTCCTACCATTAATATTAATGTAGAATTTCTGTCTAGTGTATGCCTCAGCTGACTGACTATAGGGGGAAATCTTTGAATTTTAAATCGAAATAATTCAACTTCATGAGTTTTGATTCTTTAAATTAATGGGGTTGAAGTCAGAGTAGTCCTGAGAAAAAATTAAAGTCAGATAATATGGAATAAATGTTTTTTTTTAGTCTTTCTTTCATGTCAAGTAAGGAAAAATAGATTTTTCCTAATTAAGGAAGCATGCCAACTAGGAGCTAACTGCTCCTTCTCACACAGAAAACACTTTCTGTGAAGACAAATACATCTATGCAAAATATTTACTTTAAAAAAATATAATAGTTTTCTTGTTCTGCTCAGTGTGTCTCTGATTTTCAGTTTCACATGGTGAAAAGTTAATTAAAAAAAAAAAAAAAGATTGTTTGTCAGTTAATGATTAGAAGTGAAGTTTTTTTTTCTGTATGTTTCAGTGCTGATAGTCACTGAATGCTATAGGTTTGAATTAGGACTTGCTTGCAGTAGAATTTACAATTTTAATATTGCATTAAATATGATAACTCTTTCTTTCATCTGTAGGAGCTGGAAAATATCATTGCACAAATGATGCATGTGGCAGAATACCTTGAATGGGATATTACTGAACTGAGCCCGGTAAGCATCACCAGTTTTTGTGGTTATAGAGGCAATTTTTATTTGTTTTGTGATTCTTCATGCCAACATGAGATTCTAGATATTAGCAAGATAGAAATAATAATAGTCTATGCTTCACTATGGCACTGTAAATTAACACTTTTTTCACATCTTTATCTGATTGTATCTGCTATGTAAAGCATTCTTTGGTAAATTTGAATGCTTTTCTTCAGTGCGAATAGTAATTAATATGTGTAACACAACTGATTTAATCCTGAAAATGTCTTAACATTGATTGTCTCTTGCTTGTACGTAGTAAGTACACAAGGGGCACTTTTGTTTGGGATATTTAGGTGCTAATTGTTAATATTAGATTCTATTAAAATGTAAATATATAGGTACCATATAACTTTTGTGGTTGTTTTTGCACATAGATGAGAGATCATAGATCCTAAATGTCTGGTTATGCTAGAGTAAGGAATTCATTAGTCTTTTCCATAAACTGTGTAGATTCTTCATGAAATGATGGAAGAAATTGACTATGATCATGATGGCACTGTTTCTCTAGAAGAGTGGATCCAAGGAGGAATGACAACAATCCCACTCTTGGTCCTTCTTGGATTAGAGAATGTAAGTATTAACATCAGAGTGTCAAGTTTCTGCTTGCATGTCAGCATGGTCCTCAAGTCTTTTTTCTCTATACCCTTTATAATGAATGGCTTGACTTCTCTCTACTATGTCTGAATGATGTATAAAAAACACAAGTGTGCCTTCAAAGTCAGAGCTACATTTGAATGTCTGAAACATCAGCACTGAAGCTGAAAGCTATGAAAAGCTCATTAGTTTATTCTATTGACAGCATATAATGAATTGCTAGCTGCAGAAGCATCTTGTAAGAATGTTTTATTACCCATGCATATTTTACAGCTGTCTTGGAGTGGTGTCTTGGCAACTCCACATGTGCTGTGTAGTTTAACCGCAGTGGATTATGGGGCAGTCTAGTCTGGAAGGGACTTTAGAGATCATTTGGCCAGCATCATATTGAAAGCAAGTGTCAGATTATTTTATCCACTGCCTTTTCAAATCCAGTCTTGAACATTTCCAGTGAGATGGGCCTAGTTCTGTGGCTCCCAAAGGTTAATTGTTCTCAAGAAAAAAAGATTTCTTTTTCGCATCAAGATGAAATTTCTCCTGCAGTGATTCTTGCCTGCTAACTCTTATCCTATCATAATATCTCAGTGTAAATATATGTTCTTCCATCTTTTCAACTAGCTGAATAAACTGTGCTAAGAAACAGTATCAGAATGAACACTTAGACCAAAGGATGCAGTATAATGAAAGAGGAGCTTATCACATTAAAGATAATGCGAATATAATACAATCGATAATTTATACCTGTTTAACACAGCTGTTTTAGCTCTGGCATGTTGCCAGTGCCACCTGCTGTCCTGTATTTTTGCTAATTTTGAGCACATATGTCTTAGCATATGTTTCAAAAGTTTTTTTTTATTTGATATAAAACATTTTCTTTTCTGAAGTCTTTTCCAGATACTAATGAAAAACTATACATAACATTTATCTTTCCCTATTCATTGCTATGTCCTGAACTAAATCTAGGCTGTAGTCACTCTGTAGAATCTTATTTTCACAAAGAATAGCCAGATTTTCCATATAGAAGACAACTGTACATTTAGCAGAAGACAAAATTCTTGCAAAATAATAATAGTCAAACATTTACCTCTTACTAATCAACTTATCACAGAAATAGCTGAACTGATGAAAACTTACAATCCATTTGGATCACTGTATGTACTAATTTCCTAATTCTAGGTATATGGAAAAAAATGTACTATTTTCCTTTCATCAAAAGGCAAGTCTATGTCAGATTGTATTCTTTTATTTCCACATATTTAACCTAAGCACAGGGTAGCAAATTCTCTGTAGGAATTAGTATAGGAGATAACTGATGGTCATTTTCAGTATGTATTTCTCATTTGCAACTGATGTTGCAGCTTTTCTGGGAGCATTTTTCAGTGTCTGCACTTCTTCCTTTCTCAATTTAAAACTACTTAATTCTGTGATTAATGTAAGTCTTTCTGTAGAGGATAATTTTCATGTTAAATCAAAAGCCATGTTGTTAAAAGGAAGCTATGTAAATGTACTTTATTAGACAATTTATCCTTTTGAGTATTTTTACTAGTTATTGGGCAATAACTAGCATTTTACTGAGGAAATAATAAAAATACATAAACAGTGATCAAAATTCTGTAACTTGCTATCATTGTAGGTTTCTATCAACGCTACTCCATAAGTTGAAGAAACTGAAATGAACATGGGTGAAGAAAGTGTTATAATTCAATGCAAATAAAAATATATATATATATTTAAAAAAAAAAAAAAAAAAAAAAAAAAGGATAGGAAAGATACGATAACAATTGTGTTTTTTTCCATATATTTTACTTTAATGTGGATTAGGCAGCTAGCTATAACCTGCAAGTTTGCAGGCACTGGCGTGTAAAAGTCTTTAGTTTCAGCAAAGGATTTTATTCACTCCTTAGTGACCACTAGATGTCACCGTTGCACTATAGTTGGTAATCTGTAGCTGGTGGAAAGCTGCCCTAAGGTAAAATTCAGCAACATGAAATGTTTCATAGCGGCCATAAATTGTCATCAGTAATCTGAAAACAGGCTGCTGTGTTTTTCTTTTAAAACATTCTATCTACTTCATCTTCTCTCCTGAAGCAAATGTACTCTAAGCATTTATAAAATAAGGAAACAAATCTCAATGTGACATAAGGATTTCTGTAAAAGTGTGATGATGCTTCAGTTAAAACAGGAGGCAATGCTCATACAGTTTTTCTTTGGATCGTCAAGCAGCAAATGTTTTGATATTATTTAAAGATAACTTTTGAATAGAATACTTGAGTGTGAGTCCATGTGGGTAACACAATTTTTTATACTGTTTATTACATTATTGATGATTTACTTTTTGAGCTCTGAGTATACGAAACCGGTATGAAATTGGCGACTTGAGAACATTTTCAAGTATGGTGTTGGATCTGTTGCACAATATGGAGACTCTCAGGCTGAGCACTGAAATGGTTAATACTCAGGCACTTTGGCAAATTTATATTCCTTTCGTTCAGAGAGGAATAAGGGAGATCTGCCTGCCTATATAAGAATTTGTAGCTTACCTACACTCTGAGTGCTAACTCTTCAGTTAGAAGTAGATTTGCCCTAAGAGATCATGAGAACTATTTTAGCAATATCATTGCGTGTCATTGCCGGCAGAGGGAGTTATGTTAATGCTTTGTGAGACTTCATACTAGGAGCTGCAAAGAAAAAAGTTTGCATATCAGTTTTTTTGACTATGTAGTCTACTTCTATGCTACGCTCACTCCTACTGCTTTGTAGGAGGTTTGAAAGTTCCTTTCCTTTTGCCTATAGATTGTTAAAAGTCCAGGAGAAATCTTTCTGAGTGTAAGTAGCATTTCACAAGGAGATACAAATTTAATGTTACTTAAAATATAATTACTGCAGCATTTCTAGTGACTACTAATTCAGAAACAGAGAAACATGGTGGTGTGACTAATGATGAAGCTTATCTCAAGAAATGAATTTACCCTCCTGTGCTTCCTTTTCTGTTCCCTGATGTCATTTGATGTACTTCTTAATATCTAAGCATTTCTCGGCATTCAGAATATTACACTGGTGAGTTGAAGACTGTGGACAAAAATTTTTATTAGTTTTTCAAATATTTCTTCCTCCCCTCCTCCCTCCCCCTTCCCTTCCCCCCCCCCGCCCCCCCCACCCCATCACATTTGTGCACTCCTAGCCACCCCACTGACCCCAGTGCAATTCTTGGAAGCTAGTAACTCTCCCAAAGGTCATGTCTCTTGAATGAGATTACTCCTTTTCCTTTTGAAACAAACTATAAACTCTCCCTCTCCAAACCTAAAAGAAACAAAACAAAATCTGACGAGAATTCTTTGCTGACAATCCAGCAAAGAAATGTAGAACTTAACTGCATTTGTATTTAAATGAGGTGCTGTGTGATGTAATGGACACTTCTCACTTTCCTAGTAACAGAACAGTACTCAAAGATCAGTAATAAAAATGTCTTCAGGTCCTATAAATATTTTTAAAAGGAATAAAAGCAAAATAATAATAAGCCACAAAAGAATAATTTAGGAGACTCCCTTGCATACTTCTCCCTTGATTGCTTGTTACTGAGTCTTGTAGGAACAATTGAGCATGCTAGTATTGCAGTCTCTGGCTATTTTTGTTGGAGGTGATAATTGTTGGGATAAAAAAAATTATGCAATGTAGGTGTGTTTTTTTTTTAATTTCAGAATCTGGATTTTTATGCTTGAAACCTCAAGATCTCTTTGTCGTCTTTTATTTACAAATATCTAAGAAGCAGTGGTAAATTTATATTCGATCTGACTTGGGATGTATAGCTAAATTCTGTGAAAGTTTCTACTGATTCTAAGACTGTTTTTTCTTGGTTGCTTTTTAAGGTCAGGTCCTTCTGACAATCAACTTTGTGGCAGAAAGGTCAGAAGCATAAGTTAAGAGCGCCATTGTTAACAAAATAAATGTTACTCTTGTCATTATGTGCTGAAGTCTGCATATGGCATATGGAGGCTTCATTTTTAGTGATGTATAATGAAGTAAGGAAGAGATTTTTACTGTACCTGCCCTGCTTTGAGATTTTCTTAATGACTATTTGTTTTTAAACTCTTTCTCAGGATATGGAAGCAAAATTACTGAATGCCAGTAAATGCACCTATGTGTCAGAACTGTGGATTTTATTCATACTTAAAGACTTGCATCAAGAGGGCTTTGTTTCATGTTATGTCTTTTTTTTTTTTTCTTTCTCTGGCAGTGTTTTAAAAAGTTATGTGCATGCATAATCATATGCAGCACTTTATTGCTGATTTTTGGCAGTGCACAAGAGCAAAAATTTAATTTGCTATTTTCCAAAAGTGCATTGTGTTTATGTAATGGATTTGCATCAGTTGCAGTCTCTAACATAGTTAAGTGTTTTAATTGGCAGAACACCCACATCAAGACTTATTTGTTTTTCTGATAAGGAAAATGCCAGCTAAGTTGGTCCATATGTTCTGTTCAAATAAGAAGTGACATATTCACATGCAATAGCCATTCTTTAAAAATAAAATTTAAATTTAAAAAGTAACACAAAATTCATGTAGAAGGGGGACATGTTTATGCATAATCATGAATTACTGCTATTTTTCAAAAATAGCAAATATTTTTGTGGACAGAATTAATGAGCCTGCATTTTAAATGCTTGTAGTTTATGACTGTATCTGTTGACGACCCTAGTGACATATGTTGAAATTAAACTGTACATTGTTTACTGTTTTGGTGTTGTTTTTTTCTCAGAAGGATATACATGGTATTTGTTTTCTAGTGAGTAACTTTTCTTTCAGAAGACTCGAACCTTACCTTACCAAATGTGTTGTAGTTTAGTAATAATTTAAAAATATGTTGAATGGTGCAGTAAAATAGAAATTAGAAAAGAAGTTGAAGCACTCCTTTTAATGAAATACATCCTCTTCAGCTGCCAGTCATGGAGGAGCTTGACAGGCTTCTAGGGCTCCACAGCTGCAGAATCTATTTCTGTTTCTTTAGGGGAAATTGCAAAACTTCCACATTCTGCCAGTCTGAGAATCCCAGATTAGGCAACCACTCTGGTCTTTCTGCAGAAAGGGGACCCATATGTTGCCCAGTGGCCAGAGATGGCATTTGAACTCCTGTTGGTAGGATAAGGGGACCCCACTTGGGCTCTGATTTCAACAAAGTATTGAAGCTGATATCAGCTCCTTGTGTTTGTAAGTAATATGTAGAAATTATTCAAAACTGTGTTCTGGCCTGGACCTGCTACTGGACCAAGTATTCCTAAATTCTTGTAGTGCTGATTTTTTTTTCCTTTTTTTTTTTTTTTTTTCTTCTTTTTCCCATGAGGAAATTCTTCATTGTTTTTGACTTGCCATTTACAACTATCTTCTAGAATAGAGCGAAACAAACTTTTAAGGACATAACTCATGCAGTACATGCTTATAAATAACAACATTTTAAAATTAAAATTTATGTCCACTTACATTGACAGTGAAAACCATCATATTATTGAGGAATGTCAGGAACATGATGACAAACATTCTTGTAGCTCAATATGGGAAATTAGAAGCTGGATAAGAACCACATGTTGATCTGTTTCCCTTTAAATATGTGCCAATTTATGTTTGTAATGAAATGACCAAAAAGACCATGTCATTAACATGCAAAATCAAACTACTGTAACTTGTTATCAGCTGATGGATGTGAACAACTTTTTTTCTACTGGATGTTATATTCATTGAAATAATAGATGTAAAGTGATATGTTATTAGGTTAATCTCATTTTTAATTCAAAACCTCTGATAATTAAAAAAAAAAAAAAGTCTGACAACCACATTTGCCAATAAATTTAGAATTTACAGAATTAATTGTGAATAATTTGCAATCTGTAAAAATGCACATTGTTTTACTAACCATGTAACAACAGTGAGATCCCAGAATGGTTACATTAAGAAGGAAGGGGGAGAACTGTGCAACTGGAAGCTTAGTTTCATAAACATTTCATAACATTTGTTAACATATTAGTTGAATGTAAATCCCACCTGTAAACACTTGCTTTTTGCTTAACTATTGGCAGTAGGTTAGTGTAAATTAGAGCTGGCAGTATGTATTATTGTGATTAGGTTAATTGTTATGTCCCGTTTCACATATAATGGTGCATGTTCCTTTCTAAGATTCTTTAGGAATATCCGTGAAGTTTTCAAAATCTTTTCTGTTGTTGCACTTGGGGATTTTTACTTTCCTAGTGGTAGCATGTTTATCTTCAGGATTAGTCTAGAGCAAATTTTAGTTGGTTTTAAAACTTATTACAATTTCATATCAGTCTAGATTTAGTGCTAGCATTGTTCTGCACTGTAGACACCAGCCTGGTGTTATTTTCTGAGTCATTTTTGAAACACAGGGACATCTATGAGCTTCTGAAGAATTTTTTATTATATCATTGCTTGTGTATTTAGAATGATGATACTGTGATCTGGTGCAGAGTATTAAATGAAGTAACAGATTGTATTTTACATTCTTGAGTCAATCTCCAATTTTTATTGGCACTTACATATTTCATTGTTTATTTTATTAAGTAAAATCTGTTTCTTTTATGTCCTGTGCAGAATGTAAAAGATGATGGGCAGCACGTATGGAGACTGAAGCACTTTAACAAGCCTGCTTACTGTAATCTTTGTTTGAACATGCTAATCGGAGTAGGCAAGCAGGGCCTCTGCTGTTCTTGTGAGTATAAGCATTTCAGTGTCCATTTGTGTTTATAGCTGTTCCTAGAAGTATTGCAGTTTCTGCATAACAAAGAACTGCTGGCTTCCCAGTACAAACCCATTGCCAGCACAGTGATGCTTTCTCCTTTGTTTCCTGTGCTTAAGTGCTACAGATTATATTCTTAATTTTTTAGAATATGAGGCTTTAAAAACTGCTGTTTTCTCAACTTTAATAAACTCTCAGTGTTTTAGGACATTCCAGTTGGATTCTGTCTGCATTATTTTTTATTTATTTTCTCTTAGCAAGTATTATGCTTAAAACACAACCTTATATTTTATTGTTCCTCTTATGTATTTGTGAGTAATTATTCATATTCATTAATAGGCATACTGTCTCTTATTAGAAAGGTACTTTAGTGAGTGTACTTAGATACTTGCATAGTATCTAATTCCAATAGTTATTTATGCAAATGCTTCATGCAATTCTTGTTTTGTTAATTGTAAAGGTCAAAATCTCAGTTTCCTCACAACTTGTTTTCAAGATTTTATAACTAACAATTCTAAAGTTTTGCATGTTTACTTGGTTTGCCATTTTCACCAGTCATTTACATATTAATTAATTATAGATTTTGATACAAAAAAAAGGAAGGAAGAATAAATACTGTATCTTATCAGACTTTCTTTAAACAATTGGATGTGATTACTACAGTTCAATTCCTTGAGCTGTATTCTGTGTATCTCATAATAATCTGTTCACCAACTCATATACTGTATTTTGATACCAGAAATCTTGCCAAAAGATCCCTCTTCTCTGCTTGAATATTTCAAGAGATGGATAATCCATAACTTTTTTTTTTTTTTTTTGTTAATCTTTATTTATTTATTTATTAAACAAGGACCTAATATCTGATTTGAATATGTCTGGTAAATGGATCCAATTAATCTGTTTGTGTAATGCCCTTCTGCATTAGATTAATGAATACCTAACATATTGTCTTCATGACAGTAACCTTTCTTCAAGCCACTTTTCATTATTAATTTTGATAAATTAATCAGTTTCTTAGTTTGATATAAAAACCCATCACAGCTGATCAGGACCTTTCTAACTGTACAGTTCTATTAATCCAATTTGAAGTTGGACTTAATGATGGTTTTGGAATTGGCCGTTTTTCTCTCCTCTGTGAACCCCATAACTCTTTAAAACACAATTCAGATATAAATCCCTATGTATTGGTTTTCACATTGTATAATTCCATTTGCAATACTATGGAATGAGAGATACATGTTAATAAAGGTAATAAAAACAATTTGAATAAATAGAAAGTTCAGATTAAGAAATGCTGATGACAGTAAGTGGAGCATATATTAAACGCTGAATTGGTTGTTAGATCTTGAGATGCTACGTTCTTTAAATATCCTTTCAGGACAAACTGATGTAAACTTTATCCTTGTGAGGTAACAGCACATGCATGTTTGAAAGAGAAAGTTCTATTCAGCAAGCAGTGTAGATCTCTGTCGGTAGTTACTAGAAATGCATAGATGAGTTATAAAAAAATAAACCTCCTCAGAACGACCGGCTTTATCAGAGCTTTCTCTGCTTCAGTGTACCTCTTCTAAATTTATTTGTTGTTTTAATTGGCATTTATTTGGGCAGTAGAATGGTCCCAGAGAAGCTGAACAACTTCCACTTTCTCCTTTCATTACTTCATGAAGGATGGGTCATGAGTCTACTTAGAAAACTACTATTCTTTTTCTTTATCTCACTTAGCTTCTCATGTGTATTTTCAAAGCATTGCTATAGATTTCATTATTTGCATTTTAGATTGTGTGGGAGGAAAAAAAAAAAAAGAAACTGCAGGGGGCTTCACCATCCCTCCATGGTCCAATCAACAATGTTACTCCCTGCAGTTTGTCTGATTAATAGCTGCATCTCCCACTGGGTTTGTGTAATAGGTGCAAGCAAGGTGTTTAGAAGTACTTTGTGTTTAATTGCTGTCGAGGTCAAAAGCATGAGACATATACCATGCAGTGAGAAATTCATTCTCAGTTTTTAATAGTTGACTCTACTGAATGCAGGTATTAGCTGAGCATTACAGCTAGGCACAGTGCTATAGTTGAAGTCAGGTCTTACCACTGAACCCTGACACGTGTTTTCCAAATGCAGCTAGGGTGATCTTTAAAGACCTAATCAGCAACAATAGTTACCTACTGCAGATTTGTGTAGGGTGTGCGTGGGGAAGATGTTTAGAAAATAAAGCTTCGCTGGACACAGCATTTGGGAAAGAAAGAGTTAAATTGGAGTGATTATGTAGAATGCAAGAAAACAATTGCTATCTGAAAATGGACTAATCAACCCTGTAAGATTTATAAATCAATAGAAGGAGCAACATAAACTTGTTGGCTTTTATTTTTGTGCTTGCCAGCTGCTCTCATGCCTATAGTTCATAAAATATAGGTTTCTTTCTACTAGCAGATGACACCAAGCCATTTGGCAGACTTTGTCTTTAATATTTTTGTCATTTGGCAATTATTGTCAAAAAAATGTAGTGAGCTCTGATTTAATTAAGCATTTCCTGTTATGCAATGATAGTGCATTCTTGGATTTTTCACATGTATAATATTTCCTGTTCTAATTGGCCTTTTGTATTCCATGGAAAAAGCAGTCTCGTTTGAGTTTTCATTGACTGATTGGGTGGATTGTAAAGAGCATGCTGGTAGAGTTGTTACATAAAGATGTAGTCAGGAACATCATAGCTTTACCATCTATTAATGCATTTCTTTTTTCAGTTTGCAAGTATACAGTCCATGAACGCTGTGTCTCAAGAGCTCCCGCGTCTTGCATCAAAACATATGTGAAGTCCAAAAAGAATACTGATGTAAGTCAGGGGCAATGTTACATTTACCGTCTACCCATTAGTTTATTAACCTAATATGTACCACACTTTTCTTTTGCAGGTAATGCACCATTTCTGGGTGGAAGGAAATTGTCCAACAAAATGTGATAAATGTCATAAAACCATAAAATGTTACCAAGGTTTGACTGGACTTCACTGTGTTTGGTGTCAGATCACAGTGAGTACTTGCTCTATACTAAGACCTTTAGCACATTTTGGTGAGAGTGATATCTGCATTTTTTTTGTAGCCATGTAATTCAAAAAGTCTCATTTAGTTGTTTTTTTTTTTTTTTGTAAGGAACACATAATGTGTATTTGAGAAATATTTGAATATTAAGATATATGCAGAATATCCATAGGAATACGTAAATATTGTAACCAAATAAATGCGTCCTCTGCTTCGAGGCAATACACAAATAACATACATCATTCTAAAATAATGTAATTCCCAGTATATATTACAGAGTCTTTGTGAAAGAGTTTTTATTACTGGTAAAAGCCAAGGTCGTGGTGAACTTAGAGCAAAATCCTAATTTGTGGTGTACTGTCAGGCAAGTGAAATTGAGGACATCTGGTAGGATATAGCGATTTCAAGTGTAGCAGAGGCATCTTGATAATATACTAATCTGTGCACCAAGCCTAATACATAACAACTTCTGTGCACTCCTTATTCAGCAGGAACCAATAACCGGAACTAATGACATTCAAGGAACACTGCCCTTATAAGTGAGATCTTCATGCTAGACAGAACAATGCTAGTATTTCTGTTTCTAGCTAGTGTAGGATTTAAATCTATGTGGGGATTATTCTAGGGCTTCTGCTTTTTTCTTTTTTTTTTTTTTTTTTTTTTTGGCTGATGTTGTTGTTATGGAACAGCAGTTGTTTGTTCAATGTTGTAAATAATAATGTGAGACTAAGGCATTTGTGAGTGTTTGTTTTCGACGTACAAGTTTGGATGTTTTGTGACATATTTTCTTAACACAGGAATGCAAAACATGAAACATCATCAAAGTAAATGGATCCAGGATACTTTCAGATATAAGCTGTTATGATCACTTAGAAATGAATATTTTAGAAGAAGGCAAATATGTAGTCCAGATTGTTGTCAGAATGTGGATAATTTATTTAGACACAATCCAAAATTTTGAAATGCAGATAATTAAATTTAGGCTATGGCCATCTCTCTTTAGGTAGATAATTGAATAGTGTTCTGCTCTAGATTGACGTGTGATTGCATCCTTATAATATGGCTTAATAAGAAATAGTATATAAGGTTCCCTCTTAAAGTCAAAGGAAGATTTAAATTCTGCAGGTCCTTCTATTTATGTATCCAAATGTGAGTCTGGACCAAATTTGTAAAGGTATTTTTAAATCTTAAAGGTACACATCTACATTTAGAGGACTTTCACAAGCAGTAAGAAACTCTGAGGAGATAATGAGACAGAATTTCGCACCGAAGTTAGTGTGTATAAGAAGCTTGCTTCTTTTGAAAGTATCTTTGGTATCAATCTACTTAATTAAATAATTAGATGCCTGTCCAAACTCTTAATAAAAACAAATATATGTTTTTTGACATTCAGAATGAAAAATACTGGTTTACAATTCTGTGGTTATATTTTTATCTGTATTTTAAATATTTTTTTATTTTCTGATTAATATTATGTCTTCAGAATAACTTTACTAATCTCTTCATTTAATTTTTCTGACTTAAGTGAAAAATTAGTATTTTTTAAACTTGAAGCACTGTAATTTAGATCTTATTTTCAGTCTCCCATTCAATTTTCTTATAGTTCTGCATAAGAAATTTTTTTGTGTGGTGGTTTTTTGTTGTTTGTTGTTTTTACTTATTTTTGCTAATAGTACTAACTTTCTTAATTAGTAAGAAAACAATTGTTTAGATTTATATTGGAGACTTGTATATACGCTGAAGGTCTTTTGTTCAGGGGATGGACAGCACAGTTAGGGGCAGAGAGATCCCTTTGTGCATCTGACATTGTAAGTAAAGAATGCCTTCTTACTAATACCATATTGGAGTTAATAAGTTTATTCTTGAATTTTGGATGACAAATGGAGGCGTGATTTTTAAATTGATATCTTGGAGTTACCATCACATCATTCATTTATTCATTTTACCTCTTGCACAGAAATGCTGTTGCCGTTGTGTGCAGTGCAAGAGGCTGTTAGTTATTATGGAACTAATTCTGAGCCTCTTTTAGATATTCTCCTTTTTGCAATTAACAAGATCACTTTAAAGTGAAATCGCTGATTGAAATCCCCAAATTTAGAGATGTTTGTTACTAAAGGTTGTACTGAGTATAATGTTATACTGAGTTTTTATCCAAGCTACTCATAATTTTCTCATCCACCATGATCTTGTAAATGTCTCTTTCCTTAAGCTTTCCCCACAGCAAATACATTTTTTTTTTTGTACTTTGCAGACATTTGGTTGTGATAATATGATAATATTCTGAATGAGCTAGGCTTTAGGGAAAGGAATTTGGGGGAAATATTTTTAAAATCTGCTAGATCATTTTTTGAGAAGAGGTGCATCTTTTATTTTATTGTGTCAAAGTGCTATTTTCATTAAAGCTACATATCTTTTACCAGTTCTGTTGTCAGTGATCAGCAGAGACTAATAAGAAGATTAAGCTATTTTTTCATATATAAGTTTGCATGCCACTGAGTAACAGAGCTGCTAATTACCCCTGAATGTGCGAAGATACTTTTATTTGATGTAGTGTGGCCTAGTGTGCATTAATTATCGTACAAGTAGCCATACCACTGAATTAAAGAATTAGCATGACAAATGATTTAGATTACAGGGTTACCAAAATACCCTCACAATAAGGCTTTAATACTCAGAGTAAATCGAAACTCGTTAGACTTTTATTTTCTGTTGCTAAGTAACTGCCTGAAAAGGTAACTTTGCAGTTTAAATGAATATGGACAAGGCTAATGTTAGGTACCATTTAGTTCAACATACAGAAATGTTATGTCAACATTAACTATACCAGATAACTTTATGAAGAATATATTACTGGTAAAGCTTATACATCAACAGCTGAGATAGTTTTATTATAATTTTCATAGAGTTCAACTGATGTAGTTATATCATCTAAGGGAAAAATGAGTCAGTTGTTTGAAAAAGTGTGATTTATAGTTGCAGCTATTGAACTACAGATTTTTTAGCAGCTATTCAACCCTTTGAATTAATACTGAGTGCTACCCATTAAACCAGTTCGATCACCTGATAAATCAGAATTCTACTTCAAAATTTATGGGTTTTACTATCTTTTGATGCAAATATACATATCTTCTCAAAAATAAAATATTCATACTTACAGTATAAGCATTTTAATGAACAGTTTATTCAGTGCAAAACTAGTAAACTTTTATCAGATCTCACAATATAAATTTGTAGTATGCTATTGTGGCTGTCTCTAATAATATTGTGAAGTGTACTAGCATGTGTGGATTCTTTGCAAGATCCAGGTACACAACTGAGACTTTGCACTTTGAGGTTGGATATATATGTTGAAATATTCTATTTAGACAAGTTTGATTTGAATTAAATCCTAACTAATTGGTAACAAGTTTTGATTGATAATGCAAAATATTTAAATATGTAGTTATTAATTTCTTGGCATTTTCTTTTGAAGCTATATACACATTTTTCCTTCCCATCTTTTTATCAATATAGAAATAAGTTAATGCTCTTTCAGTCAGAAGGCTTCTTTCTGTACTCTCATCATAGAATACTTCTCATTGCTTTCATGAAAGCTGGCTGAATACTAGGAGTGAAGTAAAAAAAAAAAAAAAGAGGGTAATTCACATTCCTCGGTAGTCAACAGAATGGTTTTTCCAAGATAGTTTAGAGCTCTTAGATATTCTTATCTGATTTTTTTTTTTAAATTTTGTATCTATTTTCAAAGATATTTTAGCATCACAATTGAATCAGTGGTGAGTTTATAAGCTTCAGGTGGGAAAGGTAGTTATACTAATAATGCCAAAGGCTGCCCCAAATTAATCTGAATTGCCCCCTAGCAGTAACAGAAGTCTTTCTCAGTGTAAGATGTTGAAATGAAAGTTTAGTTTGCCACTAGTACAGTTTACAGTCATGCAAAATTCTCATTTTGTGTGCTGGACCATATGTGCAGTTTCTAAACTGCGAAGTATTTTGATTGACCATTCTTTGCTTCAGTATAAATTCACTGCTTTTGTCAATCCTAAGAGGCTTTCTCCTTCAGTGTTTCATTTTCCTTGTAGTATTCTAGGAATAATGAGATTAATTTAGCATATCTAAACTCACTCAATTCTAGAATGCACAGACTATAGTAGTGAAATACCAAAGCTGAATATTTATTTTGTCTTCTTGTAGTTACATAATAAATGTGCTTCACATCTAAAGCCTGAATGTGACTGTGGACTTTTGAAGGACCATATTTTACCACCCACATCAATCTGCCCAGTAGTATTGGTGAGTTGTCTGTATTTTTATTCTAGATGTAATATTCTGTCTTAGTTAACAGCTGAAATGATGTTGGAACTAACTTACAGAGGATTTGTTAAATTCACAGGACTGTGTGAACCTTAAACCTAGTGGGTAATTCTGGCTAATTAGTTATAGGTGCAGTTGTGCTTGATCCTCTGTGTATTGCTTTTTCCTTAGTGTGAGAATGAACTTTCTGTAGGGCATATTATAACTGAAGCTGACTCAGGTTTTATCACTTACTCAGACTGTACTTACCAGAAACTGTATAGGCAGAACACTTCTACATTTTACATCTTTTATAGATCCAACTTCCCAGAATAATGAAGTTATTCTTATAGACAGTTTTTGCTTGGGATGCATATTGTATATCTGCAATGCTGAGGTCTCTGATCTAAGCCGGAGGTTACCTAGAATGATGACACTGGCCTTGCAGTAAGCTATGCATCAACATTATGGTATATTTTATTCTGCAGTAGTGGACAGTAAATTTCTCTGTCCACAAAAACAATAACTCAATTCAGTGAAAATAAAAGTGCATGCTGTATATGTAGGTGGTACTGAAAAGACCTGAGCAGCTTATGATGAAAAAAAGAGGTCTTCAGACTTAACTTATGTTTTCATTAAATTGGATGTTTTGTGCTGATGAAAATCATAGTATCATCATATAACAGAACAAGCATGTGATTTTCTTACTTTAAATACATTTCAAGAGTAACAGTAATACATTTCTAGATTTAAAGAATGATTTTTGGCAGTGAAAGAAAGTACAAAAATTTGCCTGCTAATCTTAAACCTGTTTCTGATTAGTAGTAATATATATGTTTATTTTTTTAATAATCCTTTCACTGTTTACTTGTCAGCCTGATAAGGAAGGAATCCTAGAGTTTGTTCCTCAGCATGAGTAAACTGGTAGTGTCCCATAGCTGTTAATGAAGGTAAAAAAGCAGAAACCTGGTTTGGTATTTATGAAATGTTTTTACGTATTTAAGAAAAGTCAGAAGAGTAGTTTTACTGTTCATCTGTAATGATGTTTTGATATTATCTGGGCATGTTCTGAATAGTAATTTCAAAAATATTATTTTAAGTTTATCAGATGATTGCATTTTCCATTACTTTATTTAATTTTCAGGTTTTTAGGTCATATTAAAATGTGGAAATTCTGGTTTTGTTATTGGACAGGTTTTGTTTTATTGTTATTTATTGTTTGCCATTTTTATAAACTGAATAAAGCCTCTGCATGAAATTTCATCTTCGATTACATGTATTTGTGTAACTCCATTTTCTTTTCAGAGGAGGAAGAGATGTAGCAGAATTAAGATTTTTATTCCATAATTTGAGTTTAGTTAAGTTGTTTAGAGGACAGATAAAACCACTCTAGAGTCATCCTTGAATAGGTTTGTTTTATCTGCAAATTTGGAAGATGTAAGCAGACATAAATGTTTTCCTGTATCAGAATCATGTTTCAGTATTGCATACTAATGATGTAACATGAAACAAGTATTTCAGCACTATGTTTATACATTGTTTAGAATAGAAAATATTGGAGTGATGGGAGCTTTATAGTTTTGCAGTATATTTGTTGCTCTGTTTTCTTTCAAAAACGTATTAAAATCCTGAGTACATTACAAATAATATATCAGTGACCTATCTACTAGGAATTCCTCTTAAAAATGTTTGATTACAGTGTATGTATTATTTATCTCAGTAATTTTTTAATTAGTTTCTCCCATTTCCTGCTAAGGGGATTCCTTTAGAGAAATATAGGGCCTCAGTGAATGTGAAACCAGCACTTTCACTGACAGCAAAAACAGTGAACGTACAGACACTGAAATTCCCTGAAGATGTAATAGTAAGTGTGTCTGTTAATAGAAATAGTGTGTTAAGAAATTGCAAATCATGAATCTGACAGGCTTTCATCTAGGACTCAAGATAGCTTCAGCGATCACCTAACCAATAATGTACCTTGCAAAGCTACTTACATGTGGAAAGCAAGAAAAAGCAGGCTGCCATTTTTATCATATTCTACAGGGTTTTCTGTGCCATGTTTGCCCTCAGTTACTTGGAGGTATCAGGGAACTTTTCAGGTATCTTTTTCTCACTGTTGTGCTTTCCGCCAGGCAGACAGCCAGGCCTCATACAGCCAGTCACTCATTTGCTTGCTCCACCAGTCAGGGACGGTCAGAAGAATGCAAGTGAGAAAACTCATGGATTGGAATAAGGACAGTTTAATAGGTAAAGTGAAAGCTGCATGTGCAAATAAAGCAAAACAAGGAATTCATGCAATACTTGCCATAGGCAGACTGATACCCATTTCCAGAGAGGCAGAGTTCATCACATGTAAGTGTTAATTAGGAAGACAAGCACTGTAGCCCTGCACATCCCATATTCTTCTTTCCTCTAGGTTTTGTTGCTAAGCATAGCATCACGTAAAATATCACAAAAGCACATAATACTTTGAGCTGTACGGTCATCTAGATATATGCCTTAGGTTAACTGCGTCAGCTTTCCCGGCTATGTCCTCTCCCATATTTGTGTCCCGCTCATCCTACTATTACAAACAAGAAAGTGTGACTAACAGCAAAGGCCTTGATCCCGTACTGTTCAGAAACAGCTAACGCATTGATGTTTCAATGATGTTTTTGTAATAAATCCAAGACACAACACCATGCAAGCTACTAAGAAGAAATTAACTCTATCCCAGTCAAAATGAGTTCACTCGCCTATAAGAAGTTAAGGTAGTTGTGGGAAAGACAATATGGCAAGTTGAAAAATAGTTTATATTTGATCTCTCAAAAGCTTTGGCTTCTTTTCCATCCATCCTTTGGAATTCCAGACTTCTTCCAGAAAACCATCAAAGTTCAAAACTCTGACAAGGATACCTTCTTAAAGATGTTCCCTCAACAGTACAGGAAAAATCCCTTCTCGTTTCTCATATGGAAATAAGGACATTCATGTTTATGTGTATTTCTCATCCTTTACATGTAATTTTTTCAGTTCTTGTCCAACCTAGATTCTGTCTGCAAAAATAAAGAGAATTTTTTCATAAATCATACTTCATAGCAATGTATATTGTACCAGAGTTACCAAACCAACAGAATTGGCCTCTCCACTGCAACTTGGTGTCCAGGGCCACATTTTTTTTTCCGTTTCCATTGATGTCAAAAGCCACTGTAGCAACTTTGAAGAATAAGCTAAAAACCCTGTTCTTCCTGATGTTAGTATCACAGAAGGTGACATTTCTTTTTCTTCTTTTCAGACTAGAAATTGTTAAGAAACCATGGGGAAACTCATGCAGTAGTTATTGTGTATTGTGTTGTGAAATAATCATGCATCTGTCTAGATTCAGTTCCACATAAAGATTTTTCGTATCTCACTGCAGTACTTTTAGACATTTTAGTGGATGCAGTCCATTAGTCCTTTTTACCTTTTGTTTACTGTATATAAGGATTATACAGTGAAGTTTTTTTCTTGAGTTAAATGAGTTCTGTTATAAACTGTTTGTAGAGATCTCAAGTGATAGTCTTTTAATAGATGTCAGATACGCTTTAAAGCTACTCTCTTTTATTTCAGTAACATTTAAATTAATTCATACTGATTGAATAAATGTACATTGAGACTTGTTTCCTAATGAGGGCACATTTAGAGGAAAGGTTTTGCATCATTCTGATATCCTGTGGGTAATTATATTCTAATTATATGGTGGGGGGGGAAAGTCTATAACTCAGTACTGATCTTGTTCATCGGACCCAATTAATTACATGCACATAATGAAAGTTCATGATAAGGTTGACTGTCAGTGAGTTTAAAAATCTTTAACACAATTGAATCCTAGCCTACCAAGAGTACAGAATGAGATCATAACCAGGTTAAAAACTGAGTACTGGAATGAGATGAGTGACTAGAGAAGAAAAAAATTGGTCTTTCTCTCTGGTATCACTCCTCTCCCCCAGTCCACCTCTTTTAAAACACGGAAGGGGAAAACTACCATACCTTTTGACTTCTTCATTTCGTACTTTTCTTTACTCCATTTATTGATGAATATATAGGATATTCTATTTTTAAATTATGTACATAGAGAAACATCTAGAATTTTCTATTTCCAACCAAAATAGTAATGGTTTTGTCTAATGACAGTTCATGTAATAAACGCCTATTAAGCGTATATATATATATCATTAAGTATGATTATTTTGATTCCATTATCATTTACGTGAGTTTTAAAATGGATTTTTTAAATTTAATTTCTGTCATTGATTTTGTAAACTACAAATAAAACTATTAATTTTGGAGAGAAAAAAAAAAGATAATCGTGGAATAAATTGTAAGACATAAGGTGCCTCAAAAGCAGTGTGAGCATTACTATATGCGAGTTACCACTATCTCCATAGTAACCAGTTATTTCAAAGGGGGAGATTCTGATGAAATACAGAAGGCAAGAAGTGAACAAAATAAAATTTTAAATTGGATAAATTTACTTCTGTTTGATTTTCAACTTCATTTTCCGGCATTCTAGGATGGTGAGAAGTTTGAAACTTTTTTATAAATGAATTTGTTTTTTTTCTTTTGCCTGGTGGCAATATTTAAAATATTTTAGGACAAAATCATAAGCATAATTTTTTTATATAAAATCACTGCATACGGCATCTGCACGTATAATATAAAATAGAAATATAAAATATAATCATAAGTAGAGTTCACTTGACCTCTTAAAATATATTTAGCTGTATATTTTGATATTTTCATAATTTAACCCAAATTTATCTGATTTGGGTTAGGATTTTGCTTTTTGTTTTTCAAGAACATAAATAACCATGTTCAAAAAATCTTCTGTTTGTAATTAGTCCTATTTAGGCACATAATGACATAGCAAATGACGTGTTTTAGCCAAGTGCTGTGCCTTGTGAAACTAAACAATATACATTATGATCTATAGCTTCACACTTCTGTGATTTTTATGTAAATATTGGAAGTGTGTTGTGCTGGAA